TCTTTTCAATAATACTCTAGCTAATACCATTTCAGGAAAAACTATAAAGTTAATTTGAAGTTATCGTTTCCGGCCACTTCGTATATCTTGGCACAGCATACATTATAACATAAATCGCCTTTTGATAAATGTTAGTTTATACCTGATCTTATGAGAAAGGCACTCATAGACATCGTCTCGAGTGCTTTCAAAGTATTGAAGTTTTTTATTCTACAAATCAAAATAAAGCCTTGTGTTGTACTTTGCCACGAACGTGCTGAGTATATATTTCGTGATGTATATATCAAATATGCCGATGATAGATTTTGGCAATAATTTCGCAGTCGCAATATACATGTTATTGCCGCCCTTACCATACATGTACTCGTATAATATTGATTAAAATTAGTTCAAACTTGCGTATGTTGTTGTTTTGTTGTATTAATCATTTTTCTACTGCTTGCCCGCCCATTGATAAGACGAAGGTCTTATAGAAGTGCAATGGAAAAATTTGAAAAAATATAAATACAATTATCTTAGAAAGGGCCGCCGAGAGGTTGCCAGGGGCCCAGGACAAAACTTTCTCGGGGGTCTATGACGTCATAAAATTTCCCAAGGGAACCCTATGACGTCATATTTGTTAATCGGGATAAGCGGTGCTTTACACTATTGCGTATTATCCGGCACTGAAGATTTATACTGGAACAAGAAATTGTAAAGCCTGGTTCACATATATGCCTGCGACGTGCCTGCGACGTACCGGCGACGATGCCGGTGGTAGCTTAAAACGTAAATTATGTGAATATTTGTTCGCCGATTGCCTCCAGTGCCACAGTTACATCAGCGAATATTGCCCGACTGCCCAACAAACTGGGGGGGCTACCGCCACCCCCCGCCCCCCCCCCGCCCGGTACGCCCATGGCGGTAGGCCTGGAAAGTTGACTTGAGTTCAACTTTCCCGGTATTTCGGCGGCAAGTAGAGGCATAATGATACAGTCGCAGGCATGCCGCAGGCATATGTGAACCAGGCTTAAGGGTTTTTGGGGGCCCCTTTTGAGCTGAAGAGAAGTGGAGCCCGCTAGCTCTCTCGCCGGCCCTGATCTTTGAGATAATTTAAGGGCAATTTCACAGACTGTATTATTGCATTTTCGGCGGTATGGAAATCTGGAAAAACGTCAAGACACACATATATCGTTTTAATTGGCCACTATATCGTTAGCCTAATAAGCTGTTTGATATTGTACCAAACCAGTTTGAACCATGGGGCATATTTTTATTTTGCCGGTGTGAAAGACAAATTGTCCCCTTTCCCGTAGTCATCACATCTCTTGCATGCGCGCTCTGACAGGAATGTCCTGGGAACGACCGAACGAAGTTATCTAATTCTGTATTTTCTTTATTTTAATTGTTTAATTAAGTTGGTAAAGTCCTTTGACATCTACAAACTATGATAATTATATTCTATTTTATTTTATTAAAATCAAAATAGTCAACACTTTAACTTTACATTGCCTAAAAGTTGAAACATTGTGTCGCTCTCCATTAATGGCTAGTTTCGCCATGTTAATTAAAATTTAATTTTGTTAAAATTAAACAACAATTAATTTTTGCCGTATACATCAAGAAGAGCAGTTTTCATTTTATGTGGCAATAATAAATACTTTCTCCAAAGAATGAAATTTTCCTCGAAAACTATTGCGTGTTTTGCACTTGCATGACATGTTGATTGTTCATTTAATATTCAAGTCCATTAATTTAACTTTGCATTTTTGGCTTGCGGGACACAAGCTGACTACTCAACAGCTAACCTTGTTCATGTACAATATCAACTTAGTCTGATATCCCTGACTGACTATGTCTTTGTTTGTTTTTCTGTATGGTAGCAGCTCTTCAATTTGGCCTTCAATTTGATAAAACGCATGCAAAATTAAATTAAGCTAACCTTTGTATGCTGACGGGTCTAGTTATATTATTATGCATGTGGTAAATATATATATTATCTACAAGGTGGCCCTGATATAGTCAAAACATAGACTGTCATTTGTTAATTTAACACGACAAAGTGATGCTGGGAAAGTAAAAGGATACCTTGAAAATGAGATTATTGAAGCAGTCGTACGTCTATATGTATATAATATCAACCTAGTCTGTTTAATATCCCTGACTATGTCTGTGCAGTTACTGGTAGCAGATCTTCAGTTTGGCCTTGAATGAAGAATTGCCTGAAGAACGCTGACGGGTTTACTATATATGTGGTAAAATATGATATATTAAATATCAATAAGGATTAATGTTTATGATTCAGATGCATGTATATAATATCAGATTATCAGACATGTTTTGGCTTGAGTGCATTCCTCGAGAAATGAGGTCACGCCCAGCACGCAAAGTGTGTAGGTGTGGAATATGGTTATAACGCGTCATCCCTGTATTGTGGCATTAAGGAATAAGGTCGCTATAGTTAATATATAGAGTAGAAATCTGGCTGTGTTGTGAACTTAGGATCGAGCCTAGCCCATTTTTGCGCGTGATTGGCGCCGCTGTTTTCAAAAATTTTTCAAAAATTTCCTCCAATGTTTTTCTACTTAGTAAAAAGTTTGACCTTCTTATCTTCATGTCTGGTCTTTATTTAGAATGCTAACATCATATTTTAAATCAACTCAAAAAGTTACAAGACTTTCTTTGTTGTATTTCAATACAGTCAATGGACGTAGCAATTAGTTTCGGAAACCTGCGGAGAGTTAATTGGGGAGAGTTTACTGGATATTACCGCACATAGCAAAAACTCTCGTCAAAATTGGACAAGGTTGATGAGAGAGCACGAGAGTCAATAGACAGATTTAGATCACGGACGTCAAAGACAACGTCAAAATGGCGTGGCATATCCATACATGGGCACAACACGTCATTTTCACGTCGTCTTCGACGTCCGCGTCCTCAATCTAAATCTGTCTAATGAGAGTTAGAGGCGAGCGACAGTTACAATTCTCATCAACTCTCATACTCGTTTGACGAAAGCTTATGAAAGAATGAACAGGGAGTAGCGGAAACATCAAAGTGTTAAAAATTTAGGCCTGTTTCAGCTAGTTTCGACACAACGTACTACATCAAATTATTATAAAGAAACTACTTGCACTGGGTTATCTACGAAAATATTTGTGTCTTGTACGTCTGCCATTATTCAGGAGCTGGGAAGAAAAAAATAACATTTCTTTAAATACTTCCGTTTCCGATTATTACTTTTCTATTAGAACAATGAAGACTTATATTGTGCTTACAATTAATTATAATTGTTGCTTTAAAACCGTGCAATTAATGTTAATTGTTCCGCTATAGGCATAGCCTGCGAATACAGGCGGCCTGATTCACTCCTTCGTTATCACGACGAAGGAGTGAATCAGGCTGTATTCGCAGGCTATACTATAGGCGCTGGAGATCCCGCTCGTGATTACTCGTGATATATACAAACTCCACGAAGTGTTTGATCCAAGCGGGATCATAAACAAACCCTTATATAAAGCACGGCAGATACAACGACTTGATAGCCAAATTGTAAAATTAGTTGTTCTCGACCGCGGTCTCCCCGGCCCCATTATCTGTAGTTTAATGGTGTAAAAGAAGTAGCAAAAATTTCTGTTTGTTGCCTGTTGGTCCCTCGCAAATCTTTAGGAATCTTGCACAAAACCTAAAAAGAATGGTTGTAAGCACGATATAAAACAATAACAAATACAAAAAGCATGTACAGAAGTCTGGATGGTTGAGATTACGCGAGGATTGAGATGGATTGTAATAAAATGACATCTTGATTAATTGTTGGCCGTCTTACATGCCATGTGGAAGTTCAAAGTTGTTTAATATGATTCGTATATCATAACTATTTATTCGCAGGTCTATTCGCAGGTATATTCGCAGGTCTATTCGCAGGTTAGACTGATCTATTCGCAGGTCAGACTTTGAATGAAAGACATTTTTTGTCAAAAATTGGTGACACTAGCCCTTTAAATAAGAGAAAGTAGTTAATTAGAAAAGATTAGGATTCAATCATGCCGTTAGATAGGAATTTGATTTCTAATTCAACATAATTATCAGCCGCGTTACAGCTACATATGATCAATAATCATGCAATAATTTATTTCAATCGCAATTAAGGCTAGGCTTGATTGCCAGCCGGCATTCTGGGAAGTTCCCCTGAAGGAACGGCTGGTAATCGAGCCTAAATTGGGCAATTCCAGCTTTTAGTTTACGCCTGCAGGGGATGATGGGAAGTAAGGTATCATATTGCTGATTATGCTGAAAAATTTCAACAAAAACTACCGAAACAACCGAAATATTTCAATACTTACAAGTATAAGCTATCATTCCGTGTTTACACGGCCACCATTTTTATTTTTTCAGCATAATCAGCAATGTGATACCTTACTTCCCATCGTTCCCTGCACGCATAAACTAAAAGCTGGAATTGCCAATTAGGCACGATTTCAGATTTGACTGATACCGAGTAGTATTACTATACTATATTTATACTATATTTTCGACCCTTATTTTTGAGGTGGTGGATGAGGTAGTGTGAGGTGGTGGAGTGTGAGGTGGTGGAGTTTGAGGTGGTGGATGTCCACCACCTCATTTATAATTAATATTCATACAAATGAGGGTGAGGTAATTAATATTCATACAAATGAGCGTGCGTAGTGACGTCACTCATTAGTATACAATACGTCATAATTATATGCAATGATATCACGCGGGCATGTTCGGACGAAATCGGTCAAAACTTGCTGACTAGGAATTTTTTAGCGTCCCTCCACGTGTGTGATACAATAGAGGGATTAATCTTGGCTTACTATGATTGGTTGTTTGATTTAACGAGCGCCTGTATAAAATCGACAAGCGTCTTGTAATAAGCATAGTTCTGCATTTGACAACGCTCACTGGAGGTCTTTTGGCAAGCTGCTGAAATTTATCTTGTTGGTAGAATTAACGTTTATTGGTTGTCGGAAGATAAAGTTTTTTTAAGGGAAAACATGGCTCAAGAAAACCAGGAAAATATTCGGTAAGTTCAATTTAACCCCCAAATTAATATAATATCGAGAGTCTCGTTTATATAATCGATTGCTGTAGGAGAAATGAATTGATGGCAGAGTTGGAAAATGACGAGGTCAATCGCCAGCTTTGTGCCGTGGACATATTTTCTTGGTCACCCGAAACTCAGGAACAAGTTCTCGCTGAATGGGACGGCTGGCAGGAGCCAACCGCGGAAAAGCCGGGCAATTGTTGTGTTAGGAGTGTGGTAAAGTGTTTGCACGGCCCGATAGTCTCAAGCGTCATATGAAACGAGTACATACTAGCGAGAAGTCATTTCCTTGTGAACGATGTGAAAAATCCTTTGCAACCCTTGATACGTTGAAACGCCCAGGGCCTTTTTTAACATACAAGCTGGGGGGGGGGCAAATGCCCCGCCCCCAGTCCCCCTTGTGCACCCCCACGAAATCACATTTTGCCTTCCCCCCCCCCAGGAAAAGTCCCTTTTTTCTAAAATTATACAAACAAACCAGCGAAGATTAAAATAGATAAACGGAAAGTAAGTTTTAGGCTTTATCCTTTGTCCTTGTGTTAATAAAATCGATTTAAATTGTTACGTTTTTCTACCATCAAGTAATGATAAATTATTGTTAATAATTTTTTATTTTTTGGATGCTCAGAATGCAGGAAATAGTATTTCCGGGTTTCAAATTACAAAAATTTTCTGGGAATTATCCCTCTAATCAATAATGATAAATTACGGTTAATATTCTTTTTTACTTTTTGTGCAATTTCCCTTCTTTTATTTCAAATACAAGTATAGTTAGCATAAATTTTAGAGCAAATTTGGATGCTCAGAATGCAGGAAATGGCATTTTCGTGCTTCAAATTTCAAAAATTTTCTGGGGGAGTACACCCCCACACACGTGACCATTGCTATCCTCCTCTCATAAGTAATGATAAACTATGGTTAATTTTTTTTAATTTTTTGTGCGTTTTTTCCTTTATTTATTTCAAATACAAGTATAGTTAGCATTAATTTTGGAGCAACTTTGGATGCTCAGAATGCAGGAAATGACATTTCCGAGATTCAAATTTCAAAAATTTTCTGGTGGAGTACACCCCCAGGCCCCAGACCCACCTTTCATGCGTGGTATATTGGCCACACATGTGGCCTTCAGCCATTACTATCCCCTTCTAATATATTACCTCACAGAAAGGTCCCTTTTCAAAAAATGCCCCCCCCCCCCACGGGAAAATCCTTAAATAAGGCCCTGGAAACGCCATGAGAAATCCCACAGCGAGAGGGGGCACGAATGTTCGAAATGTCACAAGAAATTTGATCGAAAGTTTCGTAGAGATTTGTATTAATATATAAACCGTAACAATTATATGTATAGACATTGTGTAATATGTATAGATATACGCTGTTCCCTAAATAATTATACTTCATGTTCTTTAAAGGATAATCTGAACCGCCACATGAAAATGCACGAACGACGAGGAGCCGAAGGGGAATATACTTGTAATGTATGTGGTGAAGTATTCCGAAATATATTCCCATTCCAAGCTCATCAGCGTGATGTCCATCAAGTCGGTGGTGGAAAACGTACCAAGACGTCAACCCGGCGAACGAAAAGACAAAGAACTGATGAACCGGGTATGTATAAATGAAAATATTTCGATTACTGACTTTGATTACTGATTACCGACTAAACGAATATTTTCTCTTTTAAGAACCGCCAAGACCTTCGACACCGGTGAACGAAGGTAAGCATTCGTTGTGTGTTTTCCGTTGCTATGCAACGTTGTCAAACACCACTAATACATTTTTCTCCTTTTCAGGAGCTTCTACGTCTACTGTCGTCAACGAAGGTATGAAATTCAATTTTATACCGTATATAGTATATTTAAATTTATTTGATTGTGGTGAACTTTGCCGATTTGATGTGTACTGACAATGTTAATTACTCGCAACCTTTTTGCTTAATTCGGTTTTAAAACATTGCCTGAAGAAAGAAATGGTTTAGCACGTTGTCATTGGTTTTTACAACCACTCAAAAAATCCTAACGTTTACATTTGAAAAATATTTTCATGATAGAAGGTTGTTAAGAGTAATTTGCATTTTCACTGATGTTTGTGTTTTGAAAACCATACTTTTACTGATAAAAATAATCGAGTAATTTTTATAGCGTGGGTTTATCATTTTGTCAAGTAAAATTTGCATGTTCCTAATTTATTCATGTTAGACTTATGTTCATTTGATTTAGAACTATTAATTTAACTACATTTATTCGTTTTATGTCATGGTACGAGCAGTTATACTGCATCGTTTAGTAACCAGGGGCGTAGGAAGCACCTGGAGTTTGGGGGGGCACCGGCTTGTAGGGGCACATTACTATCGGAAAGGGTACCTAAAAAATTTTCCCCGGAAATGTTGTCGACGGGCGGGGGGGGGGAGAGAAATTTCTCCTGAGGAAAATTTTCCGTCGTATCATACCGAAATTTATGTTTGTGACCTAATTTTTAAAAAAAATTTGTAAATTTCCACACAAAAACGGCACCTATTGTTTTAATTTAGTATTTACAGCGACATTAGCTTCTACAAAAGGGGCACTTTTCCTCACAAAAAAGGGCACTTTTCAACACAAAAAGGGCACTTTTTATCACAAAAAAGGGCACTTTTAGTCCTTTAAAAAAATTTGGGGGGGCACGTGCCCCCCGTGGCCCCCCGCTTCCTACGAGCGAGTAATTTTCATAGCGTGGGTTTATCATGTTGCTATGTGAAATTAGCATGTTACTAATTTATTCATGTTAGACTTATGTGGATTTTTTATGAATCGGGTGTTTGTATGAACAAAATTAGTGCGGAACTTTAGACAAAAATAAAGAATCGGGTGTTATAATTTATTTCTAAAGGACCCCAACAATTCCCCCAAGATCCCATATTACCCCCATCCAACCTTCCTTCCCAACTACACCGAGACCATTGACGTGCTATTCGTATGCGGCAAAGCCGAGGCAACCGTATTCAGGGCTGGTATAACTATCGTTTGAGCTCGTTGAATATGGGTCAACTTGTTGACGATATAGAGCGTACATTTGATGATCAATCGACCGTATTCAAACTTAACCTATCCTTTGGTTTCATTCTCTTCAATAATGACATCGAAGAGATGCAATACCACCACCACTCCTCAGAAAACAACAGTCGAGTATTTGATACCCCCTTCCAGATCCGTAATCGTGAAGATTTAGCCCAAGTTCGTGAAGCGATGCAAAAAATCGACATCCATGAATGGGCTCGGCAACAACGTCCCAACTCCAAATGGGTTGTCATGGATTTCACCAATGCTACCTTCTACGTCACCAAACTTCGAGACCATCCTATAGGCCGTAGTGTCTCACCAATGCTAGAGAATACTACCATCGTGTCACTCGACTGCAACGAGCAAACGGGACTACCATACGAAGACAAACTGTGTCTCTTTCGTTGCCTGGCTTTACACAAAGGTTGTCATCCCCATAACCTGGAGCGCGACACTCAACACTTCTATGAACAATATTCTCAAAATGATGATTTTGCTCCAACATTCCTGGCTACGACGAACCCAAGTGTTTCGTCTCGTCTGGCAGTACAAGTGAAATGATCCAACAGTTCGTGGAATATTTGGTTGAGGTCAGCCAAGAAAGCTATCGTTTGTTGTTGGATAGATTTACGGACGTCTTCGAACAAATCAACGAACGAATATCCAACAGTGAGGTATGTTTAACCTACTAGACCGATTTTAAAATAAATATTTGTGCTTATTAGTCCTATGTTTTAGGTGAGCGAAGAAGAAGGCCGAGGTAGTGAAGCACGTGAAGAAATATCTGACAGCGATGTATGTATTTAACCTTACTTACACACCTTTTAAAACTATTTGTACTTATTTTTCCTTTCCTGTGTTTTAGGTGAGCGACTCCTAAATCGAAGACATGGTCCAATGTATACTTGGACTAAACGATAGCGAGGTATACTATATGTTTGGTCTACTAGACGTTTATAATATTTGTACTTATTATGCTGTATATTTTTAGGGGAGAGAAGCAAATGATGCTGAAGTGAGTGGGGACGAAGTGAATGAGGTATAATTTTTACCAGATTTCACTTTTAAATTATTTTTTACTTATTAGCCTCCGTATGTTGTAGGAGTCTCAAGAAAGCGAGCCAGAGAAAGCCCATCCATTGGAAAAGTTGATTGAAAAGCTCACGCTCTACTTGATGGAACTACCTGTGATCGGCTTCAACTCGGGCAAGTACGACATAAATGCAGCTAAAAATCCATTCTTCTCATACCTAGTGAAACACAAGCAAGTTAAGTTTGTAATAAAGAGGAACAACAATCACATGTGTCTCAAAACCGAACACTTAAAGTTTCTCGATATTACAAACTACTTGGCTCCAGGTTTCAACTACGACCAGTTCCTAAAAGCTTTCGAGTGCTCCCAGACCAAAGGCCACTTCCCATACGAATGGGTCGACTCCATCGACAAACTAAATTCCCCCATCTTACCCCCGCCCGAAGCGCTCCATTCCACGTTAACCAACACGGACATTACAACTGACCAGTACGAGTATTGTCAGCGCATATGGGAAGAGGAGGGTATGACCTCGTTTCGTGACTTCCTCGTGTGGAATAACAACCTTGACGTCGTTCCCTTCCTTGAAGCGATTGATAAAATGAGTGACTTTTGGCAAGAGAGGTGTATCGATATATTTAAGGACGGTGTTAGTGTGCTAGGATTGACGATGAAATATTTATTTTCTAATGTACCGGGCGCTTACTTCTCACTGTTCTCGGAGAAGGACAAGGACGCATATTACACTATGAAAAGTAACAATGTCGGTGGTCCGAGTATTATATTTAACATGTATCACGAGAAGGGGAAAACGTCCATACGTGAGGGAGAGATGCGAGCAAAAGAGCGAGAACCAAAACCCTGCAAGAAGGTAGTTGGATATGACGCAAATGCACTCTACTTGTGGGCAATCATGCAGAATATGCCAACGGGGCAGTACACAAGACGGTTTGAGGAAGATGGGTTCAAGACGAGGTGGAGTGGGAAAATGGCGATCGAATGGCTGGAATGGGAGGCATACCAGCGGAAAATACAGATCAAACATGAGTACAACAGCACGGAAAAAAGAATAGGTCCACGTCGCCTTCCAGTAGATGGATTTCACGCTGAGTCGCAAACGGTATTTCAGTTCCATGGTAAGTTGTTGTTTTAGTGTAATTAGTTGGGATTAAGTTAATTAGTTAGGATTAAGTTAATTGTGTGGGAGTAGGTTAATGCGTTTTTTTAGTGATTGCGTGGACTTTTCTCTTGCAGGATAATTTATTTTTCTTTTGTAGGATCATTAATATTGCACTTTATTCTGCTAGGATGCTATTGGCATGGCCATGACTGCCAACTTAACCAAGGGAAAGAAGTGAACGAGAAGCGAGATAAACCCATGAAAGAATTGCTTGAAGAGACAGAAAGAAATAGTGCTAATATTCGTAAACAGGGTTATAACCTTGTCGAGTGTTGGGAATGTGAGTGGCGAAATATGAGGAAACGAAATAGTGCGCAGCAACGATTCATCGCCACCCATCTACGTCGACCCCTAGATAAAGTGAAAACCACGACCACACAGTCCATCGTCAACGCTGTGAAGAACAATAAACTATTTGGTTGTGTGCAGTGTGATATCTACGTACCAGAGAGTTTGCGAGAACATTTCAAAGAGATGTGCCCCATCTTCAAGAATATAGAAATACGTCGAGAAGACATCGGTGAGTTCATGAGGAGCTACGACGAAGAAAATAATGTCATGCGCCAGCCCCGGCGAAGTCTCATTGGAAGTATGAAAGGGGATAAAATCCTGCTGGCGACCCCTCTCCTAAAGTGATATTTCAAACATGGTTTAGAGGTGCGTGTTAAGTATTGTAAACGCCAAATTATTCATCTCGCTAAACAACTGCATCCCAGTAACACCAAATTTTTTCAACAAGCCTATCAACTGGCAACCAAAGATCCCTATTTGTCGACTTAACTCCTATGTGTCCTGACAAGATACGGATTCGATCCGGGATCTTTCCAACTGATACGCATTATGTCGCGTCTATCAATCCAGAGTATAAGAAAGTGGGAACGTGTGTAAAATGTTCATTTGATCATGTCTGCTTGTATGAAGAGGAACTCCGAACTTCTGAAAGTATTGGCCAAGTGTAAACCTGAACTGAGAAAAACTATTTTGAAAGCGGCTGAAGACGATCTGTTTGAGGCTATAAGACGGTGTCTATTAAACGTTTGGTTTGACACGATTAAACTGAAACCGAAAACAGCTAAAAAACTTGCACCGCATTCCAAGCATATAAAGTTTGCGGTTGACAAACGAAATTCTATCGTAAAAAGAAGAACACGTCTAGTCCAACAAGGGGAGGGTTTCCTACCGTTTCTACTCACCTCAGTTTTGGAACAGTTGGCTAACTTTATATAATGGAACACGTGAAGCGATTAGTACTTGTCCCTGAACATATGGTTGAACAGCGAAAGAAACGTCTCTCGGCACCTTTGGCGACACAGGTCAACGAAATAGACTCGGACATGCAGGATATTATTCGACGACAAGATATACCAATCGATGAAAAGGCAAAGTTATACGACCAGAATCTGCAACGCTATTTAACCTTTTATGATAAACGAATGAATAAACCTCTCCAAGTAAACGTGACGCACACCGATCAAGCTGAAGGACCTCGAGGAGAACAGCCCAGTGAAGAGACGGAACCCGCAGACGAGATTGAAACAGATCTCATGGATAGTGTACCAGCTACTATGAAGTCAATTAAGAGCTCGATCAAAAAACTCAAGTAAAATAAAGATCTTATTGGTTGGAATGAACAAGGCCAGATGGTGTTCAAAGGAAGATCGGTTCCAACACAAATATAGTTGATTTGGTGAATGATTCTCTACGTCAAAGGAAGAATTTCAACCCCGACGGCTGGGAATTGTTTTCAAAAGTTCTCGGACATTTGAATGTACCCGAAGGTATTGTGAGAAACGAAAACCGTCTTGGAATTCTTCGCGAATATAAAACCAAAGGTATCCCGGAAAATCTACCCACCATCCCTCAAGTGCAGCAAGAAAAGAGGAAAAAACGCAGAGACAATATTAGTAGTCCATATAAATGGTTAAAATAATTTATTTCTTGTAAGAGAAAATTTTACAATAAATGTATTTTTAAATTAAAACTAGTGTTTGTACCACTTGTCTATAAAATCACGCACAAGCTCATCATTCCATTCTTTGCTATCCGTAAACATATTTGCAATGGTTGACATTGGAATACGTCTACATCGATGTAAAGCAAAGAATAATGTATATTGTCCACACACGTCTGATCATGGGGCTTGCAAAATTCTTCTGTTCCACGTAAATGTACCGCAATGTTTGTCCAAAAATTGAGTAAAGTTCTGACTGTAAAATCCAGGAGCCTGACCATAAGAATCCCAAAATTCCCCTTTGCCATCTTCTGTAAGATACACAGCCATCCAATGCGATCCAGGTTTATCGGAAGGATCCGTGTTAAGTATATACCCTCTAGATCTCTTTCTTATTTCGCGAGGTAAACGATTTGATGGTAAAACGTCCTTAAACACCGTCCTTGTAAATGGATCATTCTTGAGAATGTTCATAATCTGCAGCGAGTTCATATTCAATTGTTGAAATCACACAGCACGTTCCAGTTCGCATCAATTTCGATAAGACTTTGAAATTCACCAAGTACCACGATATTTATAGCCGTCTCCAAAGGTGTTCCAAATCGACATTCAATTGAGACATTTCCGTTCTTAATCGGTTGTACATGATCCCCAAGGCATAGGTCAGGAGTGAGGTCTAACACAAACAGCGTATAAGCGTTTGCATATTCTTCACGAGTTATACCATTGCCCTGATTTTCAAAAATTTTGTGTGCGTCAGCGTACAGGGTTTGAAAAGCAGAAATGTAATTACTGTCTGCTCCAAATTTCAACTGTAATGGTTTTCCAGGTAAGTTCTCTCCGTTGACAGTGAGACCCATGGTTGTAATATCGTAATTTTTTAAATTGAACGGTTTCTTCGTATATGTACCGTTAAAGGCATCTGCGTCGACCATTCCAATCACGATACGATTTGGTAAACCACCTTGAAATATGTTAGGTTGATTTCCAGACATGTTCCGCCGAGGTACGGAGACAACCTTGCAGTCGATCCTGTTGATTGGGTATTTGGTAGTGATTTGTTGAAGGGACTGGGAATGAGTCATTATAACACTAGGTGCTACATTAACTCGTCGTACACGAAACAAACATTCTTCAATGACCACTTTGAAATTGGGATTTTCTGCGGATGATACCAAACAAAACGGATCTCTAGATCTTACCAGCTTGATCTTGATTGGAACAGCACCAAGAATATAACGGTCTTGCGCGAGTAGATCAGAATGAATTCTTCCTTCCATGGCGACAGATTTACTTTCACGTGTATATGCATGGCGTTGTTTTAATCCCGTGTTGACGTTGAGATCTTGTGCGAGAGGGTTTACTACATCCATCTTTCCAGCTTTATCGTTATAGAATAGTGCTGAGGTTAAATGTGAATCTTTGGCGTCTTTACTAAAGTTCAGGATCGTTTCGATATACGCTCGGTAAGGGTAGGCTGTGCTTGATGGGGTGATCAGTTTGTTGTTCAGAAATACTTCAACTTGTGAGAATAATGCATGCATCCAAAGGTTTGAAGGGCCAACTTGAATGTCCGCATTCACATTTCCTCCAGCCGCAGTAGTGATCTTTGCTTTAACGTATAGGTAACTGCTTGCTAAGTCAGTATAAACTCCAGAATTTGCAGCACATAAAAATTCTATCGTATCTGAAGAAGATATACTTGTAATAGGATCAACATCTTCCCAAAATCCTTTTTCCATTACCACTTGAGTCAGTGGAACAGAAAATAAATCGAGTTCAGATTTTGAACACATACATGAGTCTTTATGCATTGTTTCAAGAGCCATGCCACTTTGGACTATAGTTATCGAGAGATGTTTTCTACTTCTTGGTTGGACCGCGAATGGGAGTTTTAGCTGGCGCAGCTCTTTTTATACCCTTTTTGCGACCCTTTCCAGTCATTACTTTCTTGGCGGCGTTTTCTGCAACATCAGATACTGCTTGTTTTCCTCGTGATTTAAAAGATTCTCTTACATTTTTTCTTTCGAGTACATCTTGACCAACTTCTGTGGCTGCTTGTAATGCTCTTTTGCCAACAACTTTAGCACCTTGTTTGAATAGAGGGATAGCTAGCCCGCGTGCAGGCCCAAGGGAGCAGGCTGAAGGGAACTTGATAGTGGGCCTGCAAGCAAGGCCCGGTATTTTGGCTGTTTGCTGTTGGATTCTATAATTAGGTCAGTGATTCATCACAAAGGCATAGACAAAGGCTCTCGATAAGCTTAAAATTCGAAAATTGATCACTTTTTTCGATTACAAATGGAACAAGAACAGACTGTTTATTGTTTACTTGAAGGAAGAGATGTTTTTCCCGTTATGCCAATGAGGATTGCTTGTCGTGAGGTGTTGGAATAGCAACATTTATTACGAATGGAGTATAAAACTATAGTAACCTTTACTTGAGTTTCATTAATTTCAAACAGACTTGATACGTTATATGTTCCTCAAGAAAATTATCTTTTGGTTGATGTTGAGATGCAGTTGCATGTAAGCCTATTCAAAATACTTTGCGATTTACAAGGCTTCGCTGAAAGAGCAAAAGAGAAGACGGTATTAAATTGCCGTTTGAAACGAAACGATCTGGACTCTGAACGCTCTCTTCTTTTGTAGAGTTCTCACCAAATGAAATAACTGAAATAAATTTCGTACTTTCCGCCGCCAACAAGAATTGCACACACGATCTGATAAGTGAGATAATTTATTTATAACAATGGCGACAGCGAAGCAACATTATAAATGCTGATGTGGTCGCACGACTTCCCTCACGATTTGAAGTTTGAGACTGGTTTTCTGTTGAAGTTCGTCTTAATTTGCCTGTTCCGATTTTAGTTGAAAATGAGCACTTGTAAATTTGGCAATTACTGACTGCGTTGCTTGTTTTTTTTGGAGTTTTAACACAGGCATTTACACATTGTTTCTATTTTGAATATTAAAGCAGAGAAAACCCCGCAACATTTTAATGCGAGTTTGTTTGTTAATATTTGGGTTGCTGTCATTGGTTCTTTTTTGACAATTGACGCGCGAATGGGGCGTGTTATGAAAAGGGGCGTTTTACAAAATACCGGGCCTTGCTTGCAGGCCCACTATCAGTTCCCTTGGGCCTGCACGCGGGCTAAGGGATAGCATATCTCGCAAGGCTCTTGAAAATACCTCCGATCCCATATCCTTTTTGCACACGTGCACCACGAAACCCAGCGATGTTTCCGCCACGCTGCTGTCTCAAGAAATGGTCTTTCAATAGTTTTTCGTCTACAACTAGTTTTCCTCGCATTTTTTTAGATAAAGTACTGAGATCTCTTCTGTCTAAAGTGAAGTGTTGCGATTGACTTCCCGAACTCAAATGAGACGTTTTCGTTTTGGTCATTCTTTATATTGACTTCAATGGTCTCAAAAGAATTTACTTTGACCGGTACGTACTGCAAATTACGAAAACTGGCGTGAACGTTGTTTCCATATTCCCCTTCGATATTAACGATTCGTAGTAAAGGCACTTTTACATCGCCGACAAACTGTGCATCAACGATATCACTGTAGACATACATGGAGGAAAATCCACCATTGATATCTGCAGCATAGAAACTCGAAGTTTTCTTTTCAATAAGAGTGTCCTGATCAAATCCCAAGACGGTTGCTAATTCTCCGGTAAACCACACAGTTGTGCCGTGTTTTACATCAACCAAAACTTTGCGTGAACTGCGATTATAACTAAACTTCACTTTCGTCTGTGTTTCTTTTGACATGCCGGCATTGAGTGTTTTTGTTAGCTGATCAATAGAGGAATATTGTGTTTCTTTAAGCACGACAGTTTGATAAGGGCTACTGCCAATTTTATACAGAAACGTTTGTTGCACCCCACGTTTAAGCGTGCTCCACGTATGTGGGTGATGTAGTTCCGTCAATGCGACTTCCCATTGCCCTGGCAAGACAATGGTTTCGACCAATTTCACTCGAAAATTTGCCACTGTATAATTTTGAAAATAAGCCATAGAACTATTACTCCGTAACGTGAGATAAAACTGTGTTGCCATATCGAAGACCAACACACAAATGAACACGACAAGTTTCAAATACATTTATTTCAGATCTTTTACACTCTCTGCTTGTACCCAAGAATTAAACTTGTCAGGGTAACCCAACCATTTTACATAATACTCTTTACGTTTATTATGCATGCGTGATCTTATTACTTTTTCTACTCTATAATAGTCACTGTCTGATTTGTTGACTTTCTGAAGTTCCTGCTCGTAAAATGTTCCATCCAGTTCTTCACCGTCATAATCTGCAATCTTGTACACAGATGGTCGCCGAGGTACGCGTTTCGTTACCGTAAACACTTCTTCAGTCCAATTGGGCAAGTATCCTTTCTTAAATGTTCGCTTTGCTTTACTAATCCGGACTTGGTCGCCAATGCTAAACTTAAACTGGGTTGATTTTTTGGATTCCTTCCCGTAGAGTGTTTGCCACACAATATTCTCGTTGCCTTTATTCACATCTACTGGTCTCATACCAATACTACGATGTCGAGAATGATTATAAGATTTGATCAGTTTCTGGAGAATGTCCACGTATTTGAGCGTATTGTTCGCTGTAAAGTATTTCCACATTTTCGTCTTAAGCGTGCGATTAAACCTTTCGACAATCGATGCCTTGGTTTCGTTGTACGTCGTAAAAAATCGAATGCCATGTTTCTTCAAAAAGGTTTGAAACTGTCTATTGATAAACTCCGTCCCCTTATCAGTGTGAAACATTTTCGGTTTACGCCCTTTCTTGATTATTTTCTCAAAGGTTTTGACAAGATTGTTCCCAGTTTTTGCTTTTTTTGCTTCAACCACGCATATTTGCTGAGTACATCAATAACAGTTAAAACGTACTTGTACCCATTATTCTGTTGACTTAATGAATCCATAATGACTAAATCTGCATCCCACTCATCATCCATACAATCATAGACAAAACTCACGCGGACAACTTGGTCTAAATTGAGTTTGTCACCTTAGTCTAGGACCTGTATATGAGTTTGTATGCATTTCATTTAGGACAGATAATCTCAACTGTTTTAGGGTAAGTTGACCATGACGGTCAACATGGTAACGCTGCCCGAACCCCAATCCGGGGCGAAACGTCCGAAACTGACCACACCCAAAAACAACGCTTTCGCCATACTGCTATCTACCAAACCATAAAAGCTTTGGCTATTCTGAAGTGCTTATATGGTTCACAGATGGTACTTTTGGGGATGGTCATTGGTAAGTGTGAAATGCCTAGCACTAATATTTCACAAGAAAATGGCCATGCAATAATCATAGTTAAATGTCAATTTGTGGCTTGCAAATTCAGATAAACAGCAGTGGACTTACATTACCTTTTTCCCTAAATCTTTTTGATAGAAACATAAATGGTACTTATTTAAATATATTATCACTGGTTTGGTGTAAAATAGTTAATATTTTCTGACCGAAATAATAATTCGAAATGTGCCTACCTCCTGCAAATGGACGTATTTGCCCTAGTGCTCCACTTTACTCCGCTGTTTATCGGCGATCTCGTCGACATCCTACAAAAAATGTAAATCATCTCAGACATAATGGTATCAAGAACATTTGAAACAAGTTTCAACTTGGTTTCAAGTAGATCATACCTGTTTAACCATCGACAAGGTAAATCGACAACTTTGTCCAAATTCGGCGCCATTTTGTCATTCCATGTCGCTTGTTAACAATTCAGCCTTATTACTCTTCCATCCAAGCCATTTCCATTCCACTAATAATAAATTTAACCCTTTATAACAGGAAGAAACTAAAAAATCTAAACAAAATATAAGAAATACGCCATTTTATCACCATGTAAAATTTTGCTCACGAGTCTTTCAAAACATTCCGTACAAATATCGCGTGACAAAGTAACAGGGACGTGACAGGAGGGGGTGAATTATTTCACGAAGACAGAAGAAGGCTGCGTGAAATAGACTAAAAGCTAAATACAATCATACAAATGTTTGTTTTATTTCTTGTAGCGACAAATATATACATATTATTATTTATTAATATGAAAAAGTCATACAAATTAAATGTTGATTGTTGGTTTTACCATACTGTGTGTGGGCTTTCCTTTCATTTTTCAAGTCTTTACCCCCCCTGTCACGTCCCTGTTGTTAAACCACGCGAGATTTGTACGAAATGTTTTGAAGGACTCGTAAAGAACATTTTACAGGGTGATAAAATGGCGTATTTCTTGTATTTTGTTTAGATTTTTTAGTTTCCTCCTGTTATAAAGGGTTAAATTTATTATTAGTGGAATGGAAATGGCTTGGATGGAAGAGTAACAAGGCTGAATTGTTAACAAGCGACATGGAATGACAAAATGGCGCCGAATTTGGACAAAGTTGTGGATTTACCTTGTCGATGGTTAAATAGGTATGATCTACTTGAAACCAAGTTGAAACTTGTTTAAATGTTCTTGATACCATTATGTCTGAGATGATTGCAACCGCGACTGAATAAATTAATGCTTTCGGCTACCTAGGATTTAGCTTTGGGCTACCTAGGATGTAGCTTTGGGCTATCTACCTAGGATGTAGCTTTGGGCTACCTAGGATTATACAAAATCTACATATTGTCATTTGCGAATATAAATATTAAATACGATACGGTGTGAGCTACTGTGATAAATAAGCACTTACCCCGGATTTTACCCCGGTTAATTTGCTTCACATCTCGTCATGTCGTAAAGGTTGCTGTATATTTAAAGTGAAATTCGTCCAAGATAACTTTATTTATCTTGTTTGGCGACTTTTTTGTAAATAAAATTTGTTTGAAAATCTTTCCAAAATGCCAGATTACCAGTTAACATCTGAGGTATACAAATTGACGTATATATCTTTCTCTCGGCCTAAACTGGCGCACGCGCATCAACGCATGAGGTACATGACTGTCCATGTTGTTGAATATTGAATGCAGCCTGTTGAATTTCCGTAGCGTTTTTTTAGACACCTTGTACAAATACTTACTCATTTCTGGTGGGGTTCAATGTCCATGAGATCGAAGTGGACAACTTTGGATTCCGTTATGTTTTCACATACCCAGGGTTCGACGTGTACGGACGTGTGCTTTTTCGCTCCAATAATGACATCTGTTAAGAATATTTTGTACCGTAACTTTTGCTTAGCGAAGAACAAACTGAAATGGTTAGGAGCGCTAGAAGACTTGAAAGCATTTGTGTTGACGGAGATTAACGAAGATACAGCAGAAAACACAAACTGGCGATCTCCTAGCGGCGGAACGTGGAAATTTGAAAGTGAGTTACTGGCTGTTACATGGCAAACCAAAAGTATGAATATATCCTTTGAAGGAGAAAAGGGCAAAGACCTGACTGAACGAGTAGTTTCAAATCTGAAGGAAGAAGGTGTGAGAGAACACAACAGCATCGCCTTAGCTCAAAATGACACGGAGGACGACGGTGGCGATATAACAACTGTCGAATGTGAAACAACCGCTCAGGTAGTCTGTAACGAACTCCCTACTGAGGTAAGCGAGATTAAATTAAAACTAAACCAACATATTGTCGAAACGAAAGCAGAGCTTCAACAAATAAAGGAGAACCTTGCCGAACAGCTTGATCAGCTAAAAGAACTGAGTTTGAATGGTGGCACTAAAGTAACTGAATATTGTCTAACAAGCCTAGAACATGAAAACGCTACCTAGAACATGAAAACACGCAACTCAGGCGCGAAAACGACTCCTTGAAAGAAAGGTTTAACAATCGTTCTTATATGGTATCGGATCTAAATACGAAAATCAAAAACATTGAAGATGAGAAATTGAGCCTAGTCACTGCCTTAAGCTGCTGCAAGAAGACAGCAAATCTATATCATTAAATAACAGAGATGCAACCCACAATACATGGCATACCCCAGGGCATAGAGCGAGAACTAATTGTACATAACATTTCTGCTAATTATGCATGCCAAAATAAAACTGCTCGATCTGCAGCTGATATGAATGCTCAAGAACCGGACATAATAACGCCAAATAGATTCGGTCTCCTGTCCACGGAACATGACTCAGATAAAGAATCAGAATCTAATGACGAAATTGACCCGAGTGAGTCTAGCACTTCGACTATTAGACAAAGTAGGTCAAGTAATTTAAACATGGATTCGAACAAACACGATAGAAAACAAAGGAGAAAAGAAAGTCAATCAACCCAAACTTCTATTGAATTTTCCAAGGGCAAGGCCAAAACCAACAATAGAAAGCATACAACAAATGCAAATTCAAACGATTTATTTCAAACAGGCTCAAAGAATAATAAGTCTGGCAAACTTGTTTTCATCGCCGGGGACTCAATTCTACAACATGTTCACGGCTGGGACTTGTCTAACGATAAACAACGTGTATCTGTAAAGTCCTTTTCAGGGAGTAAAGCTGAAATATGCAAGATTACATAAAACCATTACTACGCAAAAAGCCCGACGAGATAATATTGCATGTATAGGCACTAACAATATTAAAGATAACTCCAAGACGGCAGAAGTAGTTGCTGCGGGTATCTTAAACCTCGGAACCCAAATAAAGGATAGTCTACCATGCACTAACGTATGTATATCGGGCATTATTACTAGGAAAGATAAAGCTAATATCCAGAACAAAATTAAAACTGTGAATGACATTCTTAAACGGCTCTCTGACCAAAACAAATGGACCTATATAGACAACACTAATTTAGATTATACTTGCCTAAATAGAGGTGGCCTACATTTAAATAGAAAGGGTAGTAGCACTCTTACTAGCAATTATAGTAATCACTTTAGTCGTAATTGAAATAAGGCATGGCCAGGTGCTGTAAGGTATGCTCAATTTAACCCATATTTCCCTGATTTCAAGGGTTTCAAAATGGGTATGCTTAACATAACCAGTTTACCTAAGCATATTGACGAAATTAGGATCATGTTAGCCGATGAATGTCTCGATATTCTTGCATTAAATGAGACAAGATTGGATGATACTATTAATAACCAGGATATGTATAATTATAAGTAATTATGATCTTATTAGAGTCGATCGTTCTAGAACAGGGGGAGGCGTCTGTTTATATGTGAAAACTTCGTAATAGAAGACAGAAGCCATCATTAAACCTTTTAGGATCCTATTTAGCGAATAGAACCCAAATGTGCTCCGTTAATGGCGCTCTGTCGGGCACGAAGTTGGTTACATGTGGAATCCCTCAAGGTTCAATTCTTGGCCCACTCTTATTCTTGATCTACATTAATGATCTGCCTAACAGTTTGGAGTACTCGTCGACAAGAATGTTTGCCGACGATACGACTCTAACTGTATCTGGCAAGTCAATCCAAGATGTAGAGGTGGCCATAGATCATGACCTTACCAACATTAAACAATGGCTTTCTGCAAATAGATTATCTCTTAATCTAGTCAAAACTGAGTATCTACTAATAGGATCTCGGTACAACATAAATAATTTACTTGCTGCTCCAAATGAATTTGTTGGTGATACACCAATTAAAAAGGTCAAAGAAACAAAAGCGCTTGGAGTTCATATTGACGAATTTCTATTGTGGGATAAGCATATTGATAAAATTGCTAAGAAGATTTCATCCGGAATTGGGGCGATCAGAAAGCTAAAATCTTGTGTGGATCATAATACATTAATTTATGCTTATAATGCACTTATACTTCCACACCTAGATTATTGTTGCGAAGTTTGGGACACCATTGGTGCCACACTTTCTGATCGACTCGAGAAACTACAAAATAGGGCAGCTAGAGTTATTACTGGCCGTAAAAACGAACACGGTCAATCTGAACTTGCTCTAGACGAACTGAAATGGAAACCTTTAAGTGAACGCAGAACACATTTCGTAGCAAGTCTTATATATGAAATAACTCGCGAACTGGCGCCAAAACGACTAACCAATATTTTTCAAAGGACGTCTTCCTCTTATTACTATAATATGCGAGGCTCTTCCACCAAACTCTTTTTGCCCAAACCTAAGACTGAATATCTTAAAAAAAGTCTTAGTTATAGAGGAGCGAAATTGTGGAACAGCCTTTCTGATGAAGCAAGAAACAAACACACTCTTGCTTCGTTTAATTCATGTATACGACACCTGGCCAATTAATTAATTAATTAATAAAATAATTACGTTAATTTAAAATATTGAACAGTACTAACATTAATTTAATTTGTAAATAATTATATACTAGTTGTATTTGTAAATGTATTGTAATTGTTGTTAACTGTAATGTAATGTAATGTATGACCATAATTTGTATCAATTGTATTTTTTAACTATTTAAATCTACGCCCCCTTGGAAATCAGCCTTCGCTGTAGAGGTTAGCGTAGTTAAATAAAGTTTTACCTACCTACCTACATACCAGGGTGTAAATACCCCAGCGGAGTTAGTACCCTCGCACGGCGCTCCGCGCCGGCTGGGGGAATATAGAATAAAAAGTAGTATTAGGCGGTATCCGCGTCCATACTTCTAAAGAGTGTCTCAAAAAAACGCTATGGACATTCAACAGGCTGTTGTGCAACACAACCTTAACTAAACAATCCAATTTTACATAGGACGAAAGAGCTGTTATTTAGCTTTTCTATGATATATTTCTTATACCGTAACGATGAGAAATGGCCACATATACTCGTCAAATAACAAATTTTCGATCGAAATCACATTCTTCCACTGTTGGGAATTGAAAATACATTAATTATGCAAAGTTAATCATTCCGAAAGCACCGCGAGTCTGCTGCAAGGTACTTGTTTCGTAAAACGTTTTGATTACGAATGTTCTCTATTCAGGGGTTAATTGAACCATGTTTAATGCAATTTATAATGGACGTTCTTATGATCTCACTATAAGACGACGATTGACGAGTTAAACTTATTTTAGATGATTTAATATTCAATTTTAATTCCCTCTTGGGAATTGTTTATGTTTCGTTTTCCATGCAATTCCCAACGGTGGAAGAATGTGATTTCGACCGGGATTTTTTATTTGACGAGTATGCGGCCATTTCTCATCGTAACGATTTAAAAAGGGTATTATTGAAAAGCTAAAGAGCTGTTCTTTCGTCCTATGTAAAAATTGAATTGTTTAGCCACGTTTATGAATGTTGTTGAATGTTGTATGCAGCTTGTTGAATTTCCATAGCGTTTTTTTTAGACACCCTGTACAAATACTTACTCATTTCTGATGGGGTTCAAGGTCCATGAAATCGCAGTGGTGTACCCCTACATACATACTCGGGTGTAAATACCCCCAGCGGAGTTAGTACCCTCGCTCGGCGCTCCGCGCTGGCTCGGGGAATATAGAGTAAAAAGTAGTATTAGGCGGTATCCGCGTCCATACTTCTACAAATACTTACTCATTTTTTATGGGGTTTATTGCTTGATTTGCGTACTTTTCGGGCGCTCGTTTTTCGTGGATTCGACGTTTTTGAAGTGGCCATTAGTGTTATCATTATTTTACTAATAGCCAGGTTTGGTCATATAGGTATTGAAAAACGTGCTGCCGCCGCGCTTCCAAAGGAGGCAGATTGCGGTACCGCTGTCGGGAGAGAAAAGGCAAATGCAAAACAAATATTTACCGAGCTCATCAACGCTATTCAAAGGAGGAGCAAGCCATATGACAGGGTACTGGCTAATAATCAGTTTGGGTTTCTCTACATGCATGGTATAACTTACGGTGTGCACTATGATGATCCTAAAGTCAGTAAGGTAATGCAGTGGACGAAACCGCTCCCTTGTAAGGGGAAATCGCTCCCTGGTCTAAAGAAACCGCTTCCTGATAGCAGCGCGCTCCCTATTAAAATAATATGGCCTGCAAAAGCAGAAACCACAAACTTTCAATTCGCAAGACCAACTCCCGAAGCGATTGGAAGACCAGGTAACATCGGGCACTCTGAAGAACAACTCCTTAATTCTTTTAACATCATGGCCGACAACTTTATAAGAAGACACAACAACGAGTGTCCGTGTTATGTGATTTTGGGTAAGTCTTGGAAAAACATTTGGGGGGATAATTTTCAGATAATTGGGATTTGGGTCGACGGCCACGAGTAAATAGAGACCTTAAACATGTGGGTCGGCAACGCGACACGACGGCTATCAACACAATGAGTAATTGAAAAGTAATAAATAAATAAAGAAAGACCTGTGGGAGTCTTAGACGTATAGTCGTCGCTCTGTTTACAAAGGCAAATCACAGATTTTCATGTCTTGTGCACAGCCTCTGAATTTCAAGCCGCAGCAAATGTTACTTCAAATTGGGTTCAGTTGAATTCTCCCCAAACGTAAATCCCACGTTTTCAACGTCCTAAACTGCGTTAAAATCATACGATTGATAATAAACGACAAGTTTTCTTTACAAGCATTTATTTGAAGGAGTTTGTTTTGGCCACCGTCGTCGCGTTGCCGTCCTACATGCTTAAGGTCCCTAATAATTCAAGAGTGGAATATATATTGAAAATTTTGAGTTATTGCTAAATATTATCGAACAAGTCCACGAAACTGACCAAAGTTCGGTAATATACATATAACTGATTATTATATAGACAAGCGCCGCATATGAGATATGCTGCAATCTGATTGGTTCTCTACTACGTAGTAGGATATTATATGGTTCATTTCCTACTAGTACAGAATTGAAGATGGCGGCGAAAAAATCTATCCGGCAACTTCAAACAGAGAAACAGGAAGTTTTGCAAAAGTGAAAGCCTTAAATGGGATAAAAACACTATGAAACTACTTATAGTAATTGTGTACAGATTCGAATATGGCTGAGAGCCATGTACGAATAGTGTTCGTGGAATAACTGTTAAATATTGGCTTCTCGGTAGTTTAAGCCACGAAGTTCCCGAAGATGAAATTTTCGACTGCTCATATATATTCTAAATTTGCTTAAACCTCTTACAAAGCGGAAATTCTTTTGAAAACTTTAAAACTGTAAATCCAGTTCAACTTTTTTGACACATAATCACATACTCGTTTTTTCGCTTCTTTTATGGTAAGAAGATTATTTTTTTTCAGATATGTACTGTAAACAAAATTAGGCAACACATTACATGCACGATGAGCCTCCAAAAACAAAACAAAAAACGATTTTACAAAAGAAAAGAAATAAACAAATAGAAAGAAAAGAAAAAGCTGCTGTCAGTGAAAGAAATTAACGAAGGCTTATTATGCAGTTTGTGACGTAATTTTGTGTTGTTTACAGTGCAGGGGTCAGTTGTATCAAGCCCGTTTAGCTTAAGGTGGCTCGATACAATTTTTAAAAATTCAGGTGTTCAACACTGTGATATGCTCAAACTACCCATTTTGTTGATTTATTCAGTAGATATTGGGATTTTTATACATTTTGATATCTCTACTTTCAAATCATATTAGTTTTAGTAACAGTTAGATTGTTGCTATATGGCGACATACGTGTACGAAATTAACTCCAAAGTGGCCTATCGCCTCGTATAGACGGAAAATAAGCAGGGTAACCCCCAATTTTTTTTCGTTCATTATATTACTTGGAAGAGAGACTAAGAATTAGCAAAATACTAAAAAATTCTGTAATGTCATTTTTTTTAAATGAAAAAATGTCATTACATAATTTTTTTTATTTTTGGTATAATGAAAGTTTTTAGCGATGCAATACAGCATGCAAAATTTCAGCATAGGTCACCAGATAAAATAACGAGATATAGCGCATTGTTTTTCGAAAATAGAAAATTCTAATGACGACAACAAATAAGATAAAACGCTATAGAACACGCGCAATCACCTGAGATGGCGAGAGCACTGCCCACGTCAGGTCATTTTGGGAGTTCTTTCATTTTGTTAATCAGCCCCTATCACCTACGCGTAGAAATGATCACCCGGGTTTGTTCAAGATTCTTGAGCGGAGTTTTGCGATAACAATATCGAGCTACCTTAATTAAACGGTGGTTAAGCTCAAAATAGAAAGCAAGTCTATAGATTCAACAACCAACTAAAGTTTTTTAACCTTAATAGAACGATAATGTTTACAAGTATACAATTATTAAAATGGCTTAAATTCCTTTAATTCTTCGTTTACATAGGCACCAAGATATATCCATGTTATAATAGTGGAGACCAAACAGGATGTGCACGGTACTACGTTAGCGTCAAGCAAGCATTCCAGGAAGAATGCCCTTCCACTAAATTCTACTTGATATATGGTCGTGCGGGTACGGCGACAGTACACGCAGTATTGACTGACAACGGCATCATCACGGTTTCCCATCCTTGAGATCGAAATTAAGATTTAAGAATTCCAGAAGATACAGTAGTAATAGGATAATAATTGGTTTTTTTCCAGTGGGGGGGGGGGGGGGTTGGTGAACCAGTTATGATTTAATAAGGAATAGTATTACACGCGAGTGTAAATTAATGATATACATTATTAAAATGAGCTGTACGGACGGGTGGCGGACATGAGAAAATGGCTCGCACCAGCCTCTTTGATGAGTTCGCGCGGCCAGGGAGTTGGGGCAGTGTGTGAACGGAGATTTTACGCCGAAGCTTGGGTTGACCGAAGTGATTAGTTTTTGAAATTGGCGGTCTTTTGAAGAGTGGGGGCGGGCTTAATGGGTCCTTCTTGTTATTGGTCAATCAACCTGTCAATCATTATGTTGACAAATTGACAAAATGATTGACAGTGGGGGGAGGGTTTGAGGGATATATAGGGTTAAATAGTGATAAATTGGGTTAAATAGGGGAAAAAGGTTATAATAGGGATATGCTATATGGTAAATAGGGGTAAATGGGGATATTTTGGGATAGATTGGTGTAAAAAATATTTTGTTAATGTAAGATTGAATTCTTAACACTAGATTTGTTTTAAAAGGGTTTATTATTTTATTAATTGTTATTTACAGGTTTAATCACTAAGGTTCAGTTCTAACACTGTTTCTGTGCTTTTAAGTTTGTCTAAGATGTCTCTTTGTTCTTTAGTAGTTTCCAAGGCTTTTCTTCTTTGGTCTGTGATGAATTCGTGAGCTAGTGTTTGCTAATTTTGCAATTGATGTCGTTTTTGTTTTTGGTTAGGGCAGTTTTTCTTTTCTTTTCGCTAACGTCTACACCGACAAGAGTTAGCTCTCTTGTAAAAATCTGGAGGGTGTCTTGATTGGGTTTTTCGTTGTCTATTTTCAGTAAGGTGCCATTCCGTGTAGGACGCCCTGCATTGCGACGGTCTTCAGGGATGACAACGCGTTTATGTTTTGCTGATGCGTCTGTTCGTATATTTTGCGTACTTGTGTTATGTTTTTACCTCTTGATTGTAGTGGTTGTGGTTGTGTTAGGGATCGTGGTATGGGTGACGGCATTGGTTGGATTGTTTGGAGATGTGATTGTTGTTGTATTGGCATTTCTGTGATCGTATCGTTTAAATAATTTTCGAACAGATTTCCGTGGCTTCTTTGGTTTGGTCAAGTATCGACGTGGTTGATTGTATGATTGGGGTGTTTGCGGGTGTACTTGTTGTTGGATTTCTTGTTGTATCTATATTGGAAAAGGTATAGAAATCACCAACGTCGGAGTTTTCTTGTTTAATTTTGGTCAACGATACGGCACATTCGATATTAATTTGAAGTGATTGTCGTGGTGTCGATTCTCTTAGCCTGCGAACAGGCTTTCTTTGAACTCTCTTTGAAATTTGAGAGAGAGCCTGCAGGCCTAGCTAATAAAAACGCGTTTGTGCGTTGCTTAGAACGACGCAGGGTTCCCATTGGTTGAAATTGAATTAACTAATTATACTGCCATAAAAGGTAATTAAATTTACACAACAATAGATTCAAATCGAAAAATATCGTTCTATAGCGACGAGTTGTATAGAAAACTAAATCTTTGTTTAAAGTTAAAGGATGGACAGTCAAAAGCTCTTAATAATATTCTAGACAGAAACGATGTTTTAGCTGTACTGTATAAGAGAGTCTGGCAAATTAAAGCATCCTTACTCTATAAAGACAAAGGCGACTATAATTTGCATTCTTGAGCATTCTAGTACGCCGTAGTTGTTCAAACTCGAGTCGTTGTGGTGTTTATGTGAATTCACTTACTATTGCTACTTCAGGAAATTTCAGGGTTGTTTGAAAGAAAGACAAGTGCTTTTAATGTTGGGTAAAAGATCATGCGTTGAAATCAAGATATGCGTTTTGTTTACATATATATTCGCAGGCTATTACATAAGGCGTGTCTGTATTAATTTGTCACATTGTATTTTACATTTGATTGACAACACTATAAATAGTGATGGGCACAGACGCATTTTTATTGACTAAACCGGCATGCTCTAATTCAATTCAAAGAGCCTGTTCGCAGGCTACGATTCTCTAGGAACAATTTTCATTTTATAAACACTTTTTCCAACGACTCGTTTTCGTAATTTCGTTGTCCACGGAAGTTGGTGATATCTGCGAATTTGCTCATGTATTCTTGAAGGTTTATGTTGTCGAGACCAACATCGTAAAAATCTAGAAAGGAAACGAATTCTTTTTGCTCTTTAATTAAAGACATCTTGACGGTGAATAAACGCTATGAAAAAATACGTGTATAGTTAACAGTCTAGGACCTGTATATGAGTTTGTATGCATTTCATTTAGGACAGATAATCTCAACTGTTTTAGGGCAAGTTGTCCATGACGGTCAACATGGTAACGCTGCCCGAACCCCAATTCGGGGCGAAACGTCCGAAACTGACCACACCCAAAAACGACGCTTTCGCCATACTGCTATCTACCAAACCATAAAAGCTCTGGCTATTCTGAGGTGCTTATATGGTTCAGAGATGGTACTTTAATTTGGGGATGGTCATTGGTAAGTGTGAAATGCCTAGCACTAATATTTCACAAGAAAATGACCATGCAATAACCATAGTTAAACGTCAATTTGTGGCTTGTAACTTCAGATAAACAGCAGTGGACTTACATTACCTTTTTCCCAAAATCTTTTTCATACAAACATAATTGGTACTTATTTAAATATATTATCACTGGTTTGGTGTAAAATAGTTAATATTTTCTGACCGAAATAATAATTTTAAATGTGCCTACCTCTTGCAAATGGACGTATTTGGCCAAGTTCTCCACTTTACTCCGCTGTTTATCGGCGATCTCGTCGACATCCTACAAAAAATGTAAATCATCTCAGACATAATGGTATCAAGAACCTTTTCAACAAGTTCCAACTTGGTTTTAAGTAGATCATACCTGTTTAACCATCGACAATGTAACTACACAACTTTGACCGAAATCGGCGCCATTTTGTCATCCCATGTCGGTTGTCAACAATTCGGCCTTGTTACTCTTCCATCCAAGCCATTTCCATTCCACTAATAATAAATTTAACCCTTTATAACGGTAGGAAACTAAAAAATCTAAACAAAATGTAAGAAATGGGCCATTCTATCACCCTGTAAAAAGTTGTTTACAAGTCCTTCAAAACATTCCGTACAAATCTCGCGTGACAAAGTAACAGAGACGTGACAAGGGG